AGCCAAGACCTTTTCCACTTGTTCCTGGCCTTTCTTTACTGGGACAACAGCTACCCAGTTGGGCAATTGCGTGTAAACTGGGTCTTTCTTGCCCAGCCACTATGGAGGAATCTCCCTTGTTGTGGGTGTGGCCAGCCTCAGGCCGCTCCTCTGCTATGGTGGGACGCCAGAGTGAGAACAGATGGGGGGGGCTGTTTGTCTCCAGAGGGGTCTCAGAGCTGCTGCCCAGGGGGTTAGGGTGCCCGGGGCTCCCCAGGATTCCCAGCTGCTGGGGTAAGTGTCCCAGGATGCTTCTGTCCCGCTTTGGGGTCCCTGTCCCTTTAAGACTTTCAAAAAGCACTTGCTTTTTTTTGTCCCATGGGCACTAGCTGTGGGGACCCGCTCACAGGTTTTACTGTCCTGTTTCCCTAGTTTCCAGCACCCCACGCATGCACTGTGTGTCTGCGCTCTGGTGCAGATGGCTAGGTCTGGGTGTTTAGCAGTTCTGGGCTCCCTCTCCCTCCCTGCTCTGACTCCTCTCCTCCCTCCGGGAGCTGGGGTGAGGGGCACACGGGTCCTGCTGGGCTGGGGCTTGTATCTTACCCCCTTCGCCAGGCACTGGGTTCTCACAGGTGTGGATGTGGTCTGGCTGTTGTCCTGTGTCTTCTGGTCTCTCTTTTAGGGATAGTTGTATTTGTTGTATTTTCAAAAATACATATGTTTTGGGGAGGAGGTTCCCACTGTCCTACTCACACCACCATCTTGGCTCCACCCCTGCAACATTTTTCTATGTTGACAGATAGTAACTACACTAGTTGAGGTGAGGGTTAATAATGTATATAGCTATCAAATCACTATGTTGTATATTTGAAACTGATATAAACTTGTATATCAACTATACTTCAATAAAAATAATCACATTTCTTTTCAAAATAGAGACTTCATATTCATTTTTAATGTTTATTACAAGATTTTTAGGCCCAACAATAGGATTTTTATTTACGTGATTAATCTTAAATATGGTTTTACATGACATTTTTGAAGCAGTTAGAATTCAGACATCTATGTCTATTGCCTTTCTGTTCTTAAATGGTAAAATAAATTTGTGCTCTGAAATATTAGGTATATTCTACACTAATGTTCTCAGTAATATTCAATGCAAAAAAATCCACATTTTGAGAGAAACTTAAGTATGAAAAAAGGCACATTTGAGTTAGGGGAGCCTGTAAAAAAGGTAAAGAATCTGTTACCGAGATGTGCAGTCTTTAAGCCACCCAGATGTTTTCAAAAACTGTATGTTGCTTCTGTGTAATTATAAATGAATTATAAATAAATGACCATGAAATGTTAAGAGCAATTAGAAATAAAAAAACATAAACATGATTCAGAAATCATGAAGATCCAGCATATTTGTAGAAGATTTTTTTCCTCTAACCAAAACTTTAAGTACCATATTTAAGAATATACATAATCATTAATTAATGTGATGTATGGATATTAGGTATAGACAGGAAGTATATAAACATATAAATAACTATGATTAACATCATTTTATTCAACAGTCAAACCATTTTTATTTTTCTTATCCTTTTGTCAGTCACCTTTTGCCTATAGTCAGCTCTGATGATAGTGCTTTTCTGATACCAAGCACTCTTTGGTAATCACAAATTATTAACATCCACCTTCTTGCTCTTTTATACTCAAAGGTTTCAGCTCTGAATGACTAACCATAAGAAGTTCAACTACGATGTGGGAAGAATGTAGAGTTAGGGGATGCATTCTTGTTACTAACTCTATCTCTAGGCCTTTATGGTAAGTTTGTGCCAGAGAAAATAGTCTCATTTGTATCCAGTTTTGTCCACTGTGTTGTTCTTTGTTGCTTCTAATGCATCACAAGAAAGGTATCTGATGGAAACTAGTGTGGTCGTGTGTGCATGGGTAAGTGAAATTGTGAGCTATAAAATTGTAGGTGGTTATTCAGAAAAGACATGAAAGGATGTAAATAACATGGATTTTCTTATCACTGACCTAGATTTGGTACATTATAATCAAATATCCATATACAAAGGAGAGTCAGAAGTTAAATAGTAAATAGATAAGAAAATACAGGTAGGAAAGTTTGGTGTCCCAAATAAAGGTTATATTTTAAGTGCTTTTCTATGAACACTTTCACCTGAGAAAGTCTTTAGCGTAGTTTGCAACCTAATTAATCTGACTCTCAGAGAACGTTTATCCCCTTCAAGGGGAATACCAAGTCTGACCCTGACTGGGAACTCTGTGAGAGCGTGCGGGCCTCTATGGGGTTTTGTTGTTTACTGCCTTTGAAGTGGAAGGAACGTCTCAGGACTCAAATCCAGGTCAGTCTGAGTCGAAATCCCAGGCACTGCCTTTTGCCATCTTCTCTCTGAGACTCGGGTGATGGCATGGACCTCTGAAACTTGGATGCCCATGCAGTCTGATGTGAGCCTCCCTTTTTAGTAAGCCCTTCAATAGCTTGATCTTTCTTGAAAGGCTTTATGATCAGCTCAAAGGGTAAAAGCAAAAGTCTCAAGTGGGCCTTCCTGCAAAGGCATACAATAAACCCGATTTTCTTGGGCAACTACCGGAGAAGAGCTCTCAAGCAGCAGTTAGCAAGTTCACCACTTCCTGTGCTCAATTCTACACTGCAGTAGCTGTCCCAACCATGTGCAAAACCGTTCCATGTTCCGTAATTGTGTCCAGTTTGCCATGCTGCAAATTGGTGGGGGAAAGGGTAAGAAGAAGAGAGGGGGAGAAGACTTCATGCTGGGATAAAACAGCCATTACTTGGTGACCCGCATTCAGCTCTCTACACCATAAACATTGCTGCATAAACCCAAATGCTGTCCTCACACGTAGAATATGCAGCTATGGATCTGAGGAATTGGTGATCCCATCAATCAGTGTCCTTGCCTCTAATTAGTTACCACATAGTTATGTCAGTATCCTTTCCTTGCTCTTTATAGATGCTTCCTCACCATTTTGTATTACTGGGGAGAACAAAATGTTCCATACCACAGCAAAACTGGGGGCTTTGTTATGGTTATTATTCCTGAAAATAACAGTTACTTGAACATTGGCAGTCTATGCGGCATCTATAACCAGAAGATCGAATGAACCAGAACTGACTCTACCTCTCACCTTGCCAGCTGATAGTCCTACCTCTTGCCACTCAGTTTCCAGGCACTCATTAACAAGCAGCATAGGTGGGGACCTTCAACTTCTCTCATTCACTACTTTGAATGAGGACATTCAGTAGGAGATCTCAGGGAGCCTCCCCATATCCTCCAGACCAGGACGAAGGCCCCTAGCATTTCCTCTTCAGGAAAACCATGTCTTTGTCAACATCCCATCTTTGTCATCCAAACTCTCAAGAACCATGGAAGGTGTGTTATTTTCCTCTCCTTGTGAGTTAAGTTGGCCTGCCACAGTTTCATAGATTCTGGAGAACACAAGAGACTTCTGGGTCAGAGAGGAAGGAATGTGCTACCCAGAGAGCAGCTTGACTCTTGTGCTGTTGCCCTTGCTTTCTTCTCCCCCAGTTCCCACACAGGTGCAATGCTGTCCAAAAGAAATGCAGTATAAGCCTCACCAAAATAAAAGCGAAAACCTCTTAAAGTTAAAAGAATCAGGTGAGTTTAATTTTAGTGACTTTTATTTAACACAAAAGTGAACAAAAATGACAATTTCAACATGGAAAGCAAGACACTGTTAGTTTTTACATTTCTTAGTAAGCCTTTGAAGGGCAGTGTGGACACTTTCAACACATCAGCAAGATGGACAAATTACTGATTGTCCATTCTCTTTTTCCTACAAAGTCTTTGAAATGCCATCTGTTGCCATTACAACAAAGCAGTACACGCAACTCATTTACTAGCTCTTTTAACAGGTTCGTCTAAGTCCAATGCTGTGTATTGTTGCCAAACACATAGATGAAAAATGTTAACAATTTTCATCATTATAAATTTTTACATTCTTTTCTCTCGGTCTTTGAAATGCAATTTGTTATCGCCTGTGTGAGCAACAAGAAAGAATAACTCTAAATTACTTTTTACTGAGCCTTTGAAATGCATGTGTTGTCATTTCAACATGGAAGCAATGTAAGTATTCCATCAATTACCTTTACATTCTTCTGTCTTACCAAGTGTGTTCTCATTTCAACAAAAGAACAGTAAGCACAAACTACTAATTATTTTTCATTCTGTTTTTGTTATGAAGTCATTAAAGTTCAATGTATTATCATTTCAACATGTAAGCAAGAGGAACAAGCAATTTTACATTCTTTTTTCTCAATGTCTTTGAAATACAGAATTTTGTCATTCTGACATGTAAGCATAAACAAATCATTCATTAATCATTTTCACTCTTTTCATACTAAATCTTTGAAATACAGTGCTACCATTTCAAGAGGTAAATATAAACAATTTACATTCTTTTTTCCTTATCTCTGACATGCAGTGTGTTATCCTTTCAACATGTAAGCAATATAAATAAACTATCAATTAGTTACTCTACATCCTGTTTCTTACTGTTGGATATGTGGTGTGCATTTAATACCTGGAGTACATCACATTTCAGAGTAGCCAGATTTCTAGCACTCAGTGGCCATGTGTGGTTAGTGTGTACCATCGAGAGCAGTGCAAACCTAGGGGAAGATCACAGGAAGCAAACATATGAAATAGCATATACCATGAAGGAATATTCATGCACATGGCACACTGAGACCAACAGCAAGTAAAAACCTACTTAAATGGGGAAGTAAGAGAAAACCTAGCTGAGGAGGTAACATAGTAGCCATGACCTGAGGGTTGAGCAGCTATATGTAAGGGAAAGAGTGAACAAATATCTAGGCCATGGAGGCATAATTTTCCCAAATGCCCTTAGGAAGAGTGGAGAAACAGACAAAACATAGGAGCAGCTGTTACTCTGAGCAGTTTGGGATCAGGGACTTGATCTTTATTATCACCTGGAACAGTACCTAAAGCACAATAGACACAGGGTGAGTGCATGTGAAGTAAAAGTAACTGAGCCAGGGGTCTGAGACCTGCAGAGGCAGCTAGCAACATGACAAAGACACCAGCAGACAGTGGGGGTAGTTTGTTTGTTTCCTTCCCCTTGCATAGGGTTTCTCATAAGCAACCTAAGGCAATCATACATACAAGAAGTATTCAGGGCCCTCGAGAGTGAAATTATTGGCTTCAACAACTACCACAGCCAGGGAAAGTTTCAGTTCATCAGACTCATGCCAAGGGCCTATGAGGATAAATGGACCCACCCGTGTGCACAGGGAAGTGATGGGACATAACTGGGAGAGTGCTCCCATCATGTAACCAACACTGTACTTAGCAAGCAGAAGAGGATGTAGAGGGCAATGGGCAACAGATCCACAGGAGCTTCCAAATTCCTCTCCTTCCTTCTTAGAGTTCCTCTTTCACAGAGGTCAAGGACACAGCCAATCTCCCTGACCGTCCTTTTCCCAAACAGTACAATTATACATGTGTCTCTACAAATTAGGCCTTCAAGCAAAACACTGAGCGCTTTTGTGGCCACACATCAGTGCTGACAAGACTCCTTGTACTACGGGAATCACGCAGAACGAGTACTCCAAATCATGTCGTCCCGCTGTACTGCCTGCAGCATTGCCTTCAATCGGTCCTGCACTTCAGCCAACTGCCGTCGGTTCAAACTGCCAGGAACATCCCATTCTCTGTAGCAATGGAGAGGGATGGGATAAATCACATGCTTCAGCTCCATCAAGGATGTTAGGTGCTGCAGAAGGTTCGTGAGCACAGGCATTGTAATGCGGTTGAAGGCAAAGCTAAGGACGCGGAGGCACGAACAGTGGCTCAGAGCTGGCAGGAGAGCAGAGAGAGTAGAATCAGTTAATAGGCAATTATTTATTTCCAGATGCTGCAGGGTACCTGAGGCCCTCTCTAGCAGAGTCTGGAAGGGCTCATGAGCCTCTGGGAATATCTGGTTGTGACTGAGATTCAACTGACTTAGGTGGGTGGCCTGAGAGCTCTGAGAAAGGACGGTGACATCTTCGATAGACAGGCCACAGAAAGACAGATTCAGTGTCTTCAGCTGAGGTGGCAGCACTCTGCAGAGAGAAAAAAGAAAGGTTATTTCAGAAGAATGAGTGTTGGACCAGGGCAGTGAGCCGTAAATAATACATACCTAAGGTGTAGAATAAACTAATCTGGACATATCTTATTCTGTTTGGTTTGGGTTAGTCCCACCCCAGCGCCTCCCCCGTGGTCACTTCTGTACCTATTTTGCAAGTCTTTAGTCATGTGTGCTTTGGAATCAGACTAAATATATTTGTGACCATGACAAAGTAACTTTCCCACTCTAAGGCACATGTTCTTAATCTTTAAAATGTGCACACCAGTAATTATTATTACAGAGTGTGCCGCAGATTAAGTGAAAAAAAATTATATGCACGTTGTATATACAGCATCATCAATGGCCACTCCTGGTCACTTATATGGCGAGGACAGGTCTGGGAAAGCAGCCAACTGAAGGCTCCCTTTGACTGGTTCCCAGATGACTGCCCCGCCATTCAGTGTCTAAGCCTTGGGGAAAACACAGGAGCAAGAGGATTTGGCAGTGTTAACTACTGTGGCCAGTCCAGGGGGATGTGCAGCAGTGTTACAGCTTAAGACTTTTTCCATCTGAACGCCTCCTCTTGCTCACTAGAGAACTGTAGACACCACTAGGACTGAGATTTTACCAGTATACTTACAGACTCATCACAGAGTCTACCCACAGTTGGCTGAATGAATGAATGCACAAATGAGCACAGCTTGCTTTCTAAATTTGTCTTTCTCCTCACCATGAAGTACCTCTCTCTAGCCTGGCCAAATGCTAATTCCCAGCAGTTCCTATGCTGAGGTGGAAGGAGAAATACTTTACAAGGAGCTCAGGAATATCTAAGCATGATTGCTTCTCTTCTCTTACTCATGGGGTTTGCAGGGAACCCCAGTTCCTCCCACCCGCTCACCTGAGAAGTCTGTGCAATTGATCTCTGAGGTACTGGGTAGACAAGTCGAGCTCTTGGAGGCTGTCCAGCTTCCCAAGACAGTGGAGAAAAGTTTGGAAGTGTATCCCCAGAAAACATCTAAAGCGGATGTTAGACAGACGAAGGCCGTACAGGTGGGCCGTCTGAGCCAGAAGAGTGTTGACATCCCTCAAATGAGCCTGATCCACCTGCAGGTAGTCAATGCATTGTGGATCCAGAAACTGCAGCATACTTCTGTGGGCAGACATGTCAACAATTTCCAAATCTCTGCAGCAGAGGTGCAAAGACCCAAAGCTCTGCCTGAGTTTACTCTGAAGAAAGGAAACAAATTGCTGTGTTCTCAAGGTTCCATCGAGGGAGAGGTCCACGAGTAATTCCACAGTTTCCGAGGCTGAGTGAGGCCCTGACTCTGAATTATCAAATCCGTGGCACCTGACACTAGGCTGGGCTTCTTCTGTTCTAAGAGTAGAGTTCTGAGAGTAAGCACGAGACTGAAAGCAGGAAGGGAATGTGGTTCTGATCTCAGAGCATATTATCTTATAGTCCGGGTCCTGCCTTAAATCTAAGAGCCTCAGTTTTGGGCCCCTGTAAGGAGAGGAGACAGAAAACATGAGAGGTAGCCGATTGTAATGTAATCTCCCAAGATCAGTGTTAAGAAGAAGGAACCCTTTATCCCTGGTTTTTCACAGCATATGTAATTCACCAAGAATTCCTTTCCTAAGAATTCAGTACCTTTTGTTCTTTTCCCCCTACTTTGTTTACCTCTGGTCTGTTCCCATATCAATGCCCATGTCCTTCTTCTATGTAACTACACTCAGAAGGTAATTCCACCCATAGTATCCTCAGTCACCTCTATTCTGTAATCAAGTCTGTGAGATGTTATAGTAGTTAAGGTGACCCCAAGTGTTGGACCAGTAGCCCCAAAGAGATCCTCATAAGTCACTACTGGCTACTTCTGGAAGACTGCTATGTAATCCCTTGTCCCAGGCTCTGGTACACTCTCCTGCTGACTCACTCTATAGCTACTGGATACAGTCTTACCAGGAAGAAGAGTTCTGGGCAGAGAGGAGCTGCAGACCATCAATCATGGCTTCCAAGATGTCACAGTCTGACCCTTGTACACTCAGTGTCCCGATATGGAGACAGCGAAAGGGCCAAACCCTCACCATTGCCTTTAGTATCTCTTTATGCCTGCCCATGAAGGCAGAAATGAACAGTGGAACAAAGAGCGCTCTTGGGAGCTCATCCAGGGCATGGAGAGCAGCCTGCTCATTACTCAGCAGACTCTTTGCAGCAAGCTCTAGCAGAGTGCTTGTGGGCTTCTGGTCCATCTTGAACCTGCTTCAGGGTAAACAATATTTAGAAATCCTAAGAGGACATCCACAGCCTCCAATGTCAGTTACAGAAAATATATATACTGAATTAATATATGGTGACCTCTAGTGACCTCTACTATAGGGATAGAATACAAATAGGCTTGTGTGTTTAAGTATGTGTGTGTGTGCATACACACACACACACACACACACACACACACTATAAAATGCCCCTAGAAATCACAGGTAAGTTAGCAGAATATGATGTTGACTATGGAGCTGTCTTGTTCCCAATATATTTCCTCCCAAAAGGATACCGACCAATCAGAAGGAAAATGTAAATCTAGATAAAAGCCACACTCTGATCATTACTTTAACATATAAAATGTGCAAAGTTCAATGTAATTGGGAGTAACAAAAATCGTGAAATTCCAGCCACAGGCTTTCACACTCCCATCACTAGGCTTTGTGGCGTGCAAAGACAGACCTAGAAAAGCTGCAAGACATACAGAAGGAGGAAAATGTTAAGGGGCTTAAAGTTGATACAACACTGCAGCAGAATAAGTCTGAAAATACCAAAACAGTGTCCTGGAAGGTGAGATTGGAACCTACAGGGAAAGGAATCTGTAATATGAGCATTTAAAGGGGTAGGAAAGGCATAAAGGTGAAGTCGTTGAAAGACATAACTTCTAGGGAATAATAAAGTCAAGGAGTAAAGGAGAAGCATCCCGGGCACTTAGGTAATGGGGAAATGAAGGATCTCCCAAGACATAAGAGAACCACAAATCAGAGCAATAACAACTTCTCCCTCCCTTAACCAAAACAAAATAAATTAAGGATCTGGACTTTGCTATAATGACATGAAAATGGCATCACTAAAGTAGGAGTCTTGGAAAAAAAACCAAGATCATACACATGAGCAAAAGGAAGGGGAATCCCATATGCAACCATTAAAAAAAAAAAAAAAAAAAAAAGAGGAAAAAAATTTCACACATATTAAAACAACCATGAAGCAGGAGACTGTAAGCCAACACTCCAAACAGAATTGCACTCAAGCAAGCATTTGAGGATATGAAACCTGCTTGAATCAAAATCCTTTTAAAACTATAAAAACAGAAGTGACCCAAAAACAAGTCTGAAGTTGAGACTTTCCATCCCAGCTAGAGTGTCCTTCAAATATCACAGCCTATAGAGAAAATTTTTCAACACATAGGAACTTGGGAATTCGGCACCACTCAGCGCTTTCTGAGGTATCTACTAGAGCAGGGCTTTGCAAACTGCAGCCCATTGTGCCAAATCTAGCCCATCGCTTGATTTTGTAAATAAAGTTTTATTGGAACGAAGCCACAACCAACTGTTTATGTATTGTCTATAGATGCTTTTGCATTGCCATGGCAAAGTTGAGTAGCTTTGACAGAGACACTGTGGCCCACACACTTAAAAACATTTACTATATGCCTTTTCACAGGCTGATTGTCAAGAATCTTCTAAAAGATGAATTGGGATTTTGATTCCCTATGTGATGTTGGAAAATGTCACCAAAATATCTGATGGTGAGCATGTTACAGCTAATACTAAAATCCACGTGGTGGAAAAGGGGGGAAGACTAATAAATGCTTCAATATTGTGAAAACACAGAAGTTGTGCACTTAAACATGAGAGAAAGCAGAAGAATAGAACAAAAGACAGTTAAACTTTTTGTCATAACATAGTAGGTGAGTTTTAAATAATACTGGGCAGTGCGGAAGAATGGACCAGATAGGAAAGTGTTCAGAAAACAGGGTAGTTCAGGATGAGCTTTTTCAAAGCATTTAACATGACATAGAACACATCTTGATGATAAAAGCCAAGATTCACAGTGAAGATGTAACACTTAGGAATATTTATACACTAAATAACACAGCAAACATTTTCATGAAGCAAAAAGACAAAGAGACATAGATAAAAAATATGGTAAAAATGGTTGATTTAATACACCAGTCTTAGTATAAGACAGATCAAGTAGTATAAAAAATTGGGACAGGATGTAGAAAATCTAAACAACATAATAAAGTAAACTATATGTGTGTATATATATATATATATACAGTATCTATATATACATGTGTGTGTGTATGTACATGCTCTGAAAATAGCAAATTTATTTTCTTGTCAAAATTGATACAAACTAAACAGGGACGGCACCATTTACTTCCATAAATTCGAAATAGACCAAATAGTCCGCTCTAATCACAAAGCAGCTAAAGTTAAAATTACTAACACAAACTGAAAACACAAAGGCTTTTTTACCAGGAAAGGTTTCTGGTTTAAAAAATTTTTTGAGTTAAAGAGGAGACTCAAATTAAAGTTACACAAACTATGTATCAGGATCTATGGGATACACATAAAGTAGTGATCAGAGGGAAATTCGGAGTGCTAAAGACTTTTACAAGAAAAAGTGGAAGAATGAAAATAAATACTGAAACAGAAAAAAGAAATTCCTGTGCAACCTCTTTGCAAATAACTTTGAAAATCCACATGAAGCAGATATTGTCCTAGAGAAATTCAGACAAAAATAATGCTAACTCTAGTGTTAAAAAGCTTAAATTTGCCAATTTTCATAGAAGAAATAAAGTTATTATGCAATTACCCCCAAGTAGCATTTTGCTCAGGTGGTCTTACAGGTGAATTCTAGTAAAGTATCAAGGATGCCACAGGACCAATGACCTCTCTATAAATTATTCAATAACATTAGAAAGGAAGGAAAAGTCCCTAACTCCTCCTATGAAGCAAGTATGACACTGATAGGTAAAATGTAGATATGAAAATCCTAAATAAAACATTAGCAAACATCCAACAATAATACATTAAGAAACTAATACACTGCGACCAACTGGGATTGATTCCATTAATACAAAGTTGGCTCTATATTAGGAATTCCATTTATATCACTCATGGTAGTAACATAGTTAAGGACAACCATAGATGCTGAACAAGCCTTTGGGAAAATTCAACAACGGTACATGTTAAAAAAAGAAAAACGTCTAGAAAACAGCCGTCAGGGGAAGTTTTCTAAACATGAAAGAAGATACATAATTAATCCTTAATGCCAGTATTTTATTAAATGAGGGACCACTAAAGGTAAGGAACGGATGCCCACTCCTTCATTCTTACTCAGTCTTGTACTATAAGTATTACTCAGTTGAGAAGAGAAAGCTATCAGATTTATAAGAATGGAGAGTAAGAGGTAAAGCTGTCTCTGTGTGCCGATGATATTACAGTATAGCTGCACATCCAACAGAACAATGACACATTAACTGAAATAATCAAAATCAGTATGGGAGCAGCATATAAAGCTAACATAAAAGAATCAATAGTCTTTGTATATAACCACACAAAAATCCAGTGGGGAGAAAACCCAATGTGGAGAACACATTGGGAGAGAAGATCCCATATATGACAGCAACACGTAATATTAAATGTATAGGTATAAACTTAGCAAGAACATCGATATAAGGAAAGGGTTTTCCGAACGACAAGGAGTTGTCATTGCATCTATACAAGGCAAACTTTTTCCTTTGTGACAGTGAGTAAATGGAAAGACAGTCACTGTCCATGGACAGAATAATTCAACATTAAAAACATGTCAATTCTTCCTAAGTTAATTTATAGATTGAATAAAATCTCAAAAATAGCAGCAAACATTGTTATGGAGTTAGACAAGTCGATAATAAAGTTCATATCTTAAAAAATCCAAGAATAACTAGGATATAAATTAAAAAGAAAACCTACGAGAGGGGAGGAATGATACCAAACATTCAAGCATGGTGTAAAGCCTCTGCAATTACATCATGGCACTGGTACCTGGACAGATACATAGCCCAACGGAACAGAAGAGAAAACACAGAGATGCACCCAAGTACATACGGAAATTCCAGTATTAAAAAAAAAGAGGGGCATGCAACATCACTGGGGCAAAGATGGACGTTTCATAAATGGTGCTGGATCAACTGAGACATTTGGAGAAAAATAACAGTAGATTCATATCACATACCTTCCAGAAAACAAACTGCAATGGTGTTCGGGATTTAAACATAAAAGAATGAAACCACAACAAGTTCTTGAAGAAAATATGGTGGAACTTTCTTTAACCTCAGTGTAGGGAAAGGATTTCTGACTGTGACTCAAATTAGGAGGCCATGAAAGTAAAGAATGACCAATTTGACTGCACAAAATTTTTAAGTGT